TGTTCTTGCCACTGAGGTCAATATATTTCCGATATTCATGTCTTGTCTTTAGTTTTATTTCACATCAATGGCTTTCTAAAAACATAAAACCGGTTTTTCTAATCAACCAGTTATTTTGACATTTATATTGTACTCTTTTCTGCTTATCCCTACAAGATAGATTTATAGAACTACACATGAAGGTGACATCTAGCATTTAACTTTCTTACAGTGTCGAGTAAATGTTTTAATCTCATATGCACCTGATGCATTCAGAACAATATAGTTTAAAATTGCGTTTATAAATTTACTCCAAAATTAAAATTGAAACAAACTGTCAATAATCGATATATTAATCTAAAATCGTTTCTATATATTTTGCATATACAATAGATTGTTTTAAAGACATTTTTTAAGTTTCCGGAAACCAAATTTTTATTTACTTAAATATTTCATATAATTGGTGTTTTTTATAGCCTATCAACATTTGCAGGTTATTTAAGACAAGAATTTATTTTTAGATAGCAAGATTTTTTTTTAGAAAATAATGATTTACTGATAATTCTATTAATAAGTCCTACAATAAATCCTACTAATTAACCCGTATCTGGGGGAGAAGAGGTGCATTCATACTTTGTCAAGCGTATTTGGGCTCTGGGTATTTTTAAGTGTCCAACCATCTATGTACTGACCAAGCTTGAAATTGCTTAATTTCGGTGATCGCACGAGAATTAATATTTCAACCTGATATGGCTGTAAGTCCATTTTGTAAAATAAGAATTTAAAATAACTTAGTATCATATAGAAAAATGCATATTTTATTTACAAATCACTTACATTTCATTTGAAATAATGGTGAAGAGATTTTGCTTTTTGTGAGTGGCTTAAATCCCAAAGGCAAATTGCAAATACTCTAATGACATCGCGTTGGAATGAGAAATTTATAAACGTTAAAGAAATGTTTGTTCAGATGAGGCCCAATATCTGTCCGTGAAAGCAAATTATCTCGAAATTAAAGCGAAGAAACTCCCGAGAAAAACAGCCTAACAAATTTAATGTAAGTTGCAAATGACAAATATTATAAGTGAGATACTATCTATCTATCTATCTATCTATCTATCTATCTATCTATCTATCTATCTATCTATCTATCTATCTATCTCAGACTGGTATCTATCTATCTATCTATCTATCTATCTATCTATCTATCTATCTATCTATCTATCTCAGACTGGTATCTATCTATCTATCTATCTATCTATCTATCTATCTATCTATCTATCTATCTCAGAGTGGTCTCTCTCTCTCTCTCTCTGTCTATCTAAGACTGGTATCTATCTATCTATCTATCTATCTGAGTGGTATCTATCTATCTATCTATCTATTATCTCAGAGTGGTCTCTCTCTCTCTCTATCTATCTATCTAAGACTGGTATCTATCTATCTATCTATCTATCTATCTATCTATCTATCTATCTCAGTGTGGTCTCTCTCTCTCTCTCTCTCTCTCTATCAATCTATCTATCTATCTATCTATCTATCTATCTATCTATCTATCTCAGACTGGTATCTATCTATCTATCTATCTATCTATCTATCTATCTATCTATCTATCTATCTATCTATCTCAGAGTGGTCTCTCTCTCTCTCTCTATATATATATATATATATATCTGTGCTACTGCAGGTGAAGGTTTACATAAATTTATTTCTACTTTCATAACTTTTCTCATCTGTTTTCTCTCACGCTCGTTTAAAAAGTATGATTTCATATACTTTCATTTATATATTTCTACTTTTGTGGATTACACGCGTATGTGGCTTGTCTACTCCAGTCATCAAAAGGTGATACAGTGTAACCCGGATATAAGAGAAACCCGGATATAAGAGAGATTTTCTCTGGTACCAAATTAGAGCCTGTGTTAATGTATATAAAATAGACCAAACCCGGATATAAGAAAAGCCCGGATATAAGAGAGATTTTCTCTGGTCCCAAATTAGAGCCTGTGTTAATGTATATAAAATAGACCAAACCCGGATATAAGACAAACCCGGATATAAGAGATTTTCTCTGGTCCCAAATTAGAGCCTGTGTTAATGTATATAAAATAGACCAAACCCGGATATAAGAAAACCCGGATATAAGAGAGATTTTCTCTGGTCCCAAATTAGAGCCTGTGTTAATGTATATAAAATAGACCAAACCGGATATAAGAGAAACCCGGATATAAGAGATTTTTCTCTGGTCCCAAATTAGAGCCTGTGTTAATGTATATAAAATAGACCAAACCCGGATATAAGAGAAACCCGGATATAAGAGAGATTTTCTCTGGTCCCAAATTAGAGCCTGTGTTAATGTATATAAAATAGACCAAACCCGGATATAAGAGAAACCCGGATATAAGTGACTTCTTCTCCAGTCCCGACAACTCTCTTACATCCGGGTTACGCTGTATTTGCAAAGCCAATCCATATCTTGATGCTCGTATCTCGTCACATTTGTGTTAACGTCAGAACAAGTTTTGGTTACCCCCCTTAGTGAAGGTTTAAAAAAAAAAAACATAAATTATTTTGGTTCACTGTAAGGTAAGTAAAGAATTTAAAAAAAAAGCTCACTGTTCATTTGTTGTTGAGTTCATTTCTTTATCAAACCCAAAGCTCCAACCACATCAGGAACAGTTTTACGTTTTAAGTGTATCTTATTTTTTTCTATTTCCATCTTCAGGTCTCTGTATTTGTTTAGCTTTTTGTAAACCTTCACAGAGATGTTTTTGTCATTTGGTACGCTCATGTAAATCAGTGTGCAAACGGTATGTGTAAATGAAAGAAAACGTGTTTAAAAAATAATATTTATTGAAACATTTGTGTGTCTTTCTTTGCGGGAGTATATGTGTATAAGAATCAGCAGGACTAGTTCAAATACCAGCCTAGGCTCTTGCATTAACTTCCACACAGATGCCCTTGAGAAAGGCAAAAATCTATATCTTCATTTCGTATCTAGTAAGGTAAAGATGTTCTTTAACCTTAGGCGGCAGCCAGTCTAAAAGAAAAACTACCCTGAATTCCAAACCATAGAGAATATAACAAGAAACCATTCCATTATATTTCCTATAAAATATGCCAGTTCACATATGATAAAGAAACTGAATACATGGGGGAGTCATAATTTCCTGCATATTGAAAAGATATGGCATCACACAAAACTATTTGTTAAACAGTAGGTTAACTTGGAGTAGCAGTCAAACTAGGAGAAGGATTACTGTAAATTACAGACCATGGGGAAGTCAACAGAAAACCACTTAAATTTCTTTCCAAGATGATATATCAATTCATAGATAAAAAAAAGGAATCTGTGGAGAGCCATAGCCGTCTAAGTACTGAAGAGAGATAGCATTTAATTTAGAGTGAATTCGTTAAATAGAAGGGTAGACTGAACACTTAACCATTGATGACAGCCAGTCTAAGTGAAGGAAAATGGAATTTCAAATCGTCACGAAGGCAATAGGAAATCGCTCCATCGTCCGGTGCACAAGCCTACCCGTTAATTTGTACAGGTATATCCCTTGTTTCCTGTTTAGGATTGGTTTTCCGGATCCATTGCAAATCTTTTTCATTTTTCTTTCACTCGCAGTATTCCCTTGCATCTTATCGCCTTGCTTGGGGTGAATTGATTAAAAAAAATAAAAGAAGCTTTCCCCAGTTCACAAATAATTAAGAGGAATTTGAAAACAAAAATATGGTTGCCTTCGTCCTGAAGTGACATAGCATTAAACAAAAATAAATACATGTATAAATGAAGACATACCTGGCAAATTAACGGCAATTCTTTTTTATTCAATAGGAACGGATATCTAACGGGTGATGGAGTTTCTATTATTTTAGAATAGGCCTCCTGGATTGTAATCGGCAAGAGTCGCTAATGGGTCCACTAGAAAATAAGACGACTCAAGCTTGATTTTAACGTCTAAAACTCACAGCGTCTCCTGAAAGCTTTTTCTCTTTCTTTTCTCTTTCTTTTTTCTTTCTTTTATTTTTTGCTTCCCACTCCCCATACTTGATATCATTTTACTTTCGTCTTCTAAAGTATTTTTTTTTATTATTTTTTAAATTTATTTATTTATTATTTTGCGATTTCCCAGAGGAAATGCTACCTTTAATGGAGGAAAATTGATTATAAACAAATAAAAACGATATGAAAAATGAATTTTAAGTCTTTTTTTTTATACTCTCAAAGAAAATTAATTATCACTTGTTCTCGTTAATTGTCTAGTTTTGTGGTTGTTGATTCTGATTTTTTTCATGCAAATTTTCTTAAGTAATGCAATTATTTACTTAATTGATTTTTTCTTGTTCCAAATTTCATCGTGATGTTTGTATCAGTAGACACGCACGTGTGTGTACATGCCTGTATTAGCGATTTTGATGTTTTTGTTCCTTGTGTTTTGCCTTTTAAAAGATAACGATTTTATCTCCTATTTAATTTTTAATTGTTAGTTTCCTGATTTATTTATTTTTTTACAATATAATATTCATATTTATTTTTACAATATAATATTCATCCTGTACAGGGCCAAAGAGCTACTCGAAGTAAAAGGTTACATAGTAAGGGATAAGAAACACAGTTTATTGGGATATGTACGGCAGATAACAGTTAGCCCTAGATTTGAACACGTTAGGACTGTAGCGATTGAGATATGATCTTTTAGGGAGTCGGTCCACAGAGCAACGGTTTGTAGGAAGAAGTTGCTCAAGTGAAACTTACAATGGAATATGAAGGTAATGAAGGTGGTTCGCTACAGTGTGTGTAGCATGGTAGGTCTTAGCTGTGAAGGGTTAGAATTGGTAAAAATTAAGGAATATAGTTAGTCTGAACAATGTTTCGTCTGTGGGAAAGGGACTGTAGGATGGAAAACAATTCATCACCCACAAGGACGCGGGCTTGAACTCTATCGAAACTGGAAAATGAAGACTGGGCAGCTCCTGCTTATATATGGCAGCGGTATTACTGGAGAGGTAGAGGA